CACCTGTGGATATCACACCTATGGAACACCTGTGGATATCACACCTGTGGAACACCTGTGGACATCACACCTGTGGATATCACACCTGTGGAACACCTGTGGACATCACACCTGTGGATATCACACCTGTGGATATCACACCTGTGGATATCAGGGTTGTAAATGCTCATGGCCGGTCTGCACCAGCAGCCAGGTAGCCACTTAGAATGGCGGAAATAGACGCTACATACATCACAGAGCTGCATCTTTAAACGGGACATTTAGGTCAGGAAATGACGAATCACAGCCTGGTTCTCGATTGTCCTTTATATAGAGCCCGCCTCCGCACCCTCTGAACTTCACTGGATTGGTCGTTAAACAAGCGAGGTCAGAATAAAGCAGCACCTAAGATCAGCAGAGGTAATTAGAGACGATAGAAACACAGAAATATCTACACCCACTTTAACAGAAAGGCGTGAGCAGCAGATGGTGTCCACAGACAGAGGGCGCTCTAACCCAGCAGGGCGGAACTTCTTATGATGTCATAGAGAACATGAATATCATTGATGAGATTATTGATTTTTTAGTGTTCAGATTTCAGATAGTTTTTTCCTTCATTTGTTTAATTATGTGGTTTACAGATGAAGTTCTGATTAACAGTCAGACCTTCTCATCCCTAAGACTACAGACCCACAGGTGGATCACGGTTTCTGCAGGTTTGAAGAGTCCATCTTTCAGACCCCCCCAAACAAAGAACACAGATAAAGACATAGCAGAGGTTTCTATGGAGGTGTGACCCTTTGAGTTGCAGACCAGGGAGGAGGCTGGTGTAGGTAGTTTAACTCCTGGGGAGGAGGCCCTTCTTGTAGGCCACCAGGCCTGCCGCGGCAGCAGCAGACAGCACGGTGGAGACGCCCACCAACTTTAGGAAACCGCCGACCGACGGCAAATTCCTCTCCCAGAAACTGGTGACGAACGGCAGAGCAGGAACTTCCTGACGGGGGAGGAGACAGACCTTACAGTTAACGTCCTCTAAGGCAGCGGAAGATAAAAACATCCCAATCATTCCTTGCCTGGCTCTCCGGCTCCGGCTGGTGGATCTGACTCTGGTGGATTTTACCCATTGCACACAAGACCTGTAGGGACACGGTGGTTACAGCAGCAGCAGACGGCCACGGGTGGTTTAACAGAATAAAGATGACTTCATGGTTTTACTGAACTTCAGACTTTAAACCAGGTAGAATTAGAACCCCCCCCCAAGAAATCAGTGACATGTCCAACTTATTTCTTTAAAAAAAGGAAGTAGCAGAAGCCTTTAAGTTTCAGCTACTTGTTAAGGTATCGCCACTAGTCTGCAGTTGGGTAAAGATCTGGACTTTGACTAGGCCATCTCAGCCCAAAGCAGGGTGAACGATTTGGACCGACACGTAGCGAGACATTTGGCTCTAATGCAGATAGAGGACACAGAAATTAAAACCCCTTTTAGAAAATCCAGGGTGCATTCTTAGAGAACATCCTTTAAATAGAAATATTGGATTCTTTGTGAGCCCATTGTCTCGTTAAACATATCAATTAACGAGGTTTTTTCCTGGTAATCAGAGCTTCTTTATTTAAAATGAATTAATCAATGGTCCCAAAGAAAGCAGCCTATCAAAGCTCATCAAGCTGATATTAATCAGAGACGTCTGAATGAACGAGAAGAGCAGTGAGGTGATGCTGGACGAACACATCCAGACTGCATCTAGTTTTGTTTTTCTACAGTAATCTGGACTCAGAAGGAATCTGATGCAATTCTCTGCTTGATCCAGATGATGAGCAGCAGCCTGATTGGTTCCTGAGGAGAAGTTAATTTCCTCCGACTGATGAAGTCGGACCTGGAACAACCTGGAACATGTCCCCGTAGCCCTACCTGGGGGGGGGGTTATATATAATGTGGGAAGTTCTCTGACCTCTCTGGCTGCCCGCTCCCCAGCCTGCACCGCCCCCTCCATGTAGCCGCTCCACTCTGACGCCGTCTCCGTTCCTGCAAAGTACAGCCTGCCGACAGGCTCCCTCAGAACCCTGGAGGACAGAAAACACCACATCAATCCTTCAGCTTCACTTTTGCAGCTTATTAAAAATAGAAAAAAATCCTTTATTACATTCATAAATGGACTTTATTC